GAACAAATATCTCCATTTCTTTCACTGTAAAAGGAACACCAGCCTCTGCAAAAAAAAAAAAAAATCACAAAGCCAATTGTCTCATTCATCATCACTGCTATTCCAGCACAACTAAAGGAAATCCTTTTCTGCAGGAACACAAGCAGCACTAACATTGCTCACAGCACTGAAAAACAGCTGCAAAATTGCTATTTAATCCACCAAATTACCTCTCAGCCTACTCATCTTGGGTTTTATCTGTGCTTTTAATCAAAATCTATTGTTAGAGGAGGATACTCTTAATCTGTGATTCACTGCAGCCTTTCCCTATGACTTTGAGTGACACACAGGTCACACCAGCGCTGTACCAACAGCTGGCCATACCTTGAAATTGTCCTCTAAATTTAAAATGGTGCTTGTCAGACTATCAGAATACAATATACACTCATTTTATTAAAGTTTGGATTGCCACAGCTACTTCAAGCACAATTTTGGGGTACCCACCTGGGAAACTGAAATGTTACCTATTCTCTTGAGTGGGCATCACAAAGTTCTCATTAATTTTGCAAAAGTACTTGAAGAGTTTCAACTAATCCCTTCAGAGTAACCACACACTGTCCATGTTTCACCTTAATCCTTGTAGCCTGTGGGTCTGTGCAGTCGTCAAAGCGGATACAATATCCAACCTCATGTCCCAGCACTGCACCTCTTTCATCAGCAACTCGGCCTGCAACCTGAGAAAAGAGATCCTCATAAGCAACAAACAGCTCAGCACCCTTCAGCCTTGTGTCATTACAAACCACAAAGACATCTAAAGGCACAATAAAACTCCACAATCCATTAATTAGCCCCTGCAGAAATCCAACCACAAGTTAGTGTCAGTCATTTGAATGACATTCTAACACATACCTACAGGCAGTGAATTCATTACTGGAATTGAAATTTCAGTTGGAATCTTATCCTTCCCATCATTTTCAGCCCAAGAACTCTGAATAATTGTCAATCTGGGTAATGCAAGCAGAAATACAGGAATTTCTAAACTATGCTTTATATCTTTGCAGCTTCCTATCTTTATTTCTAACAACCCTCATGCTCTGCATGGGAAAGAAGTTGCCTATTAAAATAAAATATCATTTTCAGTTCAGGACAAAGCAATAAATCATCAGTTATATTTCTCATCTCCAGTAACAGCCACAGTCCAGGCAGTCTGCAACAACAGTCTCAAAGAAAAACCCTGCTGTGTGCATGTACTAAGCCTGAATGGAATAATCTTTCTATTTTAGGCTTAAAAATGACGCATTAAGACATGAAAGAGAAAAGAGAAGTGAGTTTGCTGTGAGACATCATTGCAGCACTCACAGCATCTCCTGTAGAACTTGTGCTCTGTCAGCTGGATGCCTTATGAAGGAGAAAAGGGAGGACACTGCAGGCAGACTGCCCGAAGCACAAGATGCAGAGCACTGCTAGAGACTGTCCCCTTAACCAGGCTGGATCTGGTCAAGGAATACTGGATTCTGCAGTATTTACCACGGTATATGCTGGTGTGTTGGAGATACCATTTACCATATTAGAGAGAACAGGCAAAATGAGGATTACAAAATGGCACCTCAGCTCTCTGTAGAAAAAGAATGCTGCAGCAGAAACTTCACCCAAATCAGAGCCTGGCAGCAGCTGTGAAGCCAAAGGAGAAGTGGATGCTTTCTGTGCACGCTGCTACCAGAGAGGAGAAGTCATTGCCCTCAGCATCTCCTTTTCTCCTTCACAGCACATCTAGATGGTGTTATGCCCTCCAAGACAAAATATGTATGTGCAAAAATTTCTCACAATAAAACTTTTTCTCCTTCTGCCTGACATTTTTACAAGGAGAAACCAAAAAACCCACGCCCCATAAAAACAACAAAAAACAAACACAGAAAAAAAATTAAAAATCTAGTTATGAATTGCTAGAAAGAGGTACACAACCTCTTGTTCCTTCCACTGGCTGCATAACTGTATGCAGATTTACATCACTGTTTCACCTTGTGAAAGAATTTGAGGGTCACACAAGCACAGTTCTAGTCCTGAGTCAATCACAGCTCAGCCCTAACTTCTGCATACAGTTTTGCTGACATAGTCCATTTTACTCCACAGCTTCTACATCTGCAGTCCTGGAATGCTGGAATGTTTGGCCAGACCCACTAATCAGGCTGAATTCGGTGTGTAACACCAGCAGATCTTAGAGAAAGACAAGCAGAAACATTTTTTCCTTCAGGAGCTTGTGCAGATTCCTGCTATTCAGCAAAACCTGCTGATAAACTGGAGGTTAGAATGCCAACAGACTGGGAGGATGGGGACACTCACCGAAACAGCAGCGACCCGACGAGGCTGTGTCACCCCAACAACTCTTCCTTCAGCTGTCCAGCCAGCTTCTGCCAGGTACTGCAAACAACAGTGGGGGTAACAGAGACACTGGTCATGCTGTGGTTACACCAAGGTGTTAGCTCCTCACACTGTTTTTACCTGGTTCTGCTCAATATTCCATGTAAAATCCCCTGAGGCACTACCTGATTTCAGCAACCCAAACAGACACTTACTTGTGGAATCTGCGTGGATTTCCCACATCCTGTTTCCCCAATAATCACCAGGGTCTGGTAGTTCTCCACTAGGTAAAGTATGTGATTTCTTAGCTGAAAGACAAGATGACATTTAAACATAAAAAACAGATTGTACAAAAATAAGAAAACAATTAAAATTACAATATTTACATATCTGGCAGACACAGTAACTTCTTGTTACATGGAGTTCACTGCCAAAAGCTAAACAGTACTTTAAAATCTATAAATGACATGTACAGCATATAGTAAATAACATCCATCAACAAAGCCCTTAGAACTGACACAGTTGCCAAACAGGACAATAAATTCCAATAAATAGAGAGCAAAGCCATAAAATTGTTATTTATGTTGCAAATTGATTTTATACTGCTCTTTCAAAAAAAATAAAAATAAAAGACACAAGAACCAGGAATCATACATTGCATTTAACATACGAAAAAGAACTCCTGTACCTTAAAAACAGGCAGCTTTTGCCTTTGCTGTTCAATGGAGAGGGAAGCATAAGGGTTGTAGATGACAGTGACGGCGCTGCTCTCAGCAGGGCTCTGCCTCTCCTCCGAGACACTGACACCAGGACCTTCTGAGCCTACACAACAGGAGTGAATTTTAACTGGAACAACACACTTCTGCCTGCTGTATCACAATACAGCCAAAATAAATATGTTTCATGCAAACAGGAATCATGGGTGGCAGCATATTAAAAAAAACAAACAAGTTTTCTGTGAAAGCAATGGAAATATTACCTAACAATAAAGAAGGGATATGCCCCTCACTTCAGCTCTGAATTTACCTCAAGAACTGAAATTTGATTTATTCCTGCTGCAAATTATCACAAAACTACTGACAACTGAAACTGTGGAATCACTCAAGTGAACCAGAAACAAAAACTCATCTCAGTAACAGAATGGGTCATCTCCAGCTGCAGATTCAACCAGGAAAGTCTGACAGCAAAGAGGAGGATTCCCCTGTTTTGTAGGATTTCCTTGCTTACACTTCTACGGTGACTCCACCACCTCCCCGGGCAAAATATTCCAATGCCTGACCACCCGAAGAGTGAAACAAAAAATTGTAAAAATAGCTGATGGGAATCTGCCGTGTCTCAGTTTAAGGCAGTTTCTCCTGGTTCTCTGCCGGCAGACGCCGCAGAGGGACCGGCTCGCACCTCAGCCTCCTGTCAGGAGGGAGCGAGGAGGTCACCCCTAAACCTTCTCTTCTGGAGATTAAGCAAACCCAGCTGCCCCCGCCGCTCCTCGTAAGACACGTTCTCGAGTCCTTTCAGAGCCTTACTGCCCTTCACTGTAAATGCGCCAGCGACCCCAAAGAGCCGAGGGGTCAGCGCCGCACCCCTCACCGCGGCCAAGCAGCTCGGAGCTCTGTCCCCCACACCCATCACCACGGCCAGCAGAGCTCCATTCCCCACGGCCCTCAGCGCGGGCAGCCCGCGGCAGCGCTCCTTGCCCCGCACCCCCACACGCCTCACCCGGCTTCCAAAACTTCACCGGCCCCACGGGCGCCGCCATCTTGGGGTGAGAGGGCGGCCGGAAGCCGCCCTCGGCGCCCACGTGACGCGGGGCGCGTTGCCATGGAGCCCGCGCCCCCCCTCACCCTCAGCACGCAGTGCCCGAAGGTTTCCGCCGGTGCCCATCTGCCCTTCTTCCCTCCGCCCTTCTTCCCTCCGCCCTTCTTCCCTCACGAGGCAAAGATTTGCAGCCAAGAGACGCCGCAGTTACTGTTATCACCCAGTAACAGCTAGTGTCCGGCAAACTGCGGTGCGGGTGGGTGTGTTGGCAGCGGCTGTCCGAGGAGCGGTGGACTGTAAAGGAGTGAGGTGCAAACCGGCAGCAGGGGAGGCCCTGGCACACAGAACCCGGGGCTGCCCCTGGATCCCTGGCATTGTCCAAGGCCAGGCTGGACACTGGGGTTTGGAGCAACCTGGGATAGTGAAAGCTGTCCCTGCCCATGGCAGGGCAACCCCTGAATGAGATCTGCTTTAAGGTCTTTTCCAGCCCAACCCCTTCTGTGGTCACCTTTGGGAGCACATAGGATTTAACGGGGTCGAAAGATCACTGCCCAGAAGTCTCTGCTCATTAATTAATTAGAGCTGATTCCTTCTCCAGTGAAGGATGCCTCCACACTACCCCCACCAGAGCTGCTGCACTTTACACCAGGCAGCAGAAGGACAAGAAAGAAAATTATCCCACTAATAGTGAATAGATAGTGCTGTGCCCCACCACAGGCTGCTTACAGTCTGTTTAAACCACAAACACATCCATGACAGCCCACTGAAGTTACTATTGAATCAAACTTAATGTAGGCTTTGAGTTAATTAAGTAGAAGCTAAAGGAAATACAAAAAATAGCCAAAACTGTTTCTAGTAAGTTTAATAATACTGTCATATAGCCATGGTTATGGGAAAGTAAAAATCTAATCACATCTTGTATTCTTATAACTTCCCACGCTAGCAGTGCAGTTATGGTGATTAACACAAACTGCACCTCACAACACCCACCCTCCCTGGTCACTTGTTATGCTGAGTAACCACATGTAAAAGAGGTTATTAAGTTATAATTATGATGTTATTTAAAGTTCTAAGTATACGTTTCAATGTACTTTTGATACTAAGTCCACCCTATCAAAAATAAACACAGCTCGCAGTATTTTGTATCATCAATATATTAGTAATTGTTGAGAAAAAAATCCCACATGGAAAGAGCTGCCAATTAAAATAATGAGATTAATAACAAAGTGGAGAAGTTATGCTTGAGAAAATATATACAGATAATTATTATGAAAATAAGACTGCACAAACAGTATTTTGCATAGAGTCCAACAGTGTATGGGGTTTGCCTTTATGGAAAATATAGCTAAGAATAAAAATACATATTTCAAACTTCCTTACATCTGGATGGAAGTTAATAGTATGAAGCCATAAACTACTGAATATTTACAGATTAGGAGAGTCAGAATGATTACATTTCCATGACTGTCAGTGCAGAAGAAAGCCCAGATTAGTTGCATACTAATCAGTACATTTTTGCAATGTACATTTTTGTAAGATCCATCTGTCCAGTCTAATGTCACCTTGCTGCTGTTTAGCTGAAATTCCTCTGCCAAGTTTGACCCTTCCCCTCTGCAGCCCAGAACCCACAAGCACATATCTGAGTATTTTGCAGTAGAGGAGCCACAAGAACAATTGAGAAATGGTAAACCTTTGTTTTGGCCAATGAGTATCTGCACTGGCAGGCTGCTGGAACTGCAGGATCTCAGTGTGCAGCTCTTTGGGAGGATAGTTTGTTCATTTGAGGGTGATTTTTTTTCCGTCCAGAAATGAATGGATTAAAAAATAGTAATAAAAAATTGAGCTTCCAAGAGACCTTAAAGATAGTTCTGTCCCTGACTTCTGTGTCATTGCATTTTTGGTGGAATTAGCTGGTGCCTCTTTGTCAAGAGGCACCAGCCTCACAGATTTCAGATCTACTGAGCTTTTCCCACCAGAGAGCAGAAGCAGCCACAAAGATAACAAAAAGCCTGTCTGGTAATGCCAAGGAATTGGTCTCATTTGGCTCTCCTACAAACACAGTGGGTCCTTTAGAATACTATCACTTGCACACATTTATTGCATGATGTCCAGCAATCCAAACAATCTAATATAAAGGCATTTGAAATTCAGTCACTGCTAAAGCCTTGCTTGCTGACACATTAGCTCGTTCTGCCTGCCAGCATAGTTTCGTATGAAGAAAATGTAACACTGGAGGAGTAGCAGTGTGGTACTGACCTACTGGCTTCTAGATTAGGGTTACTCCTGGTTTGTGTCATGAACCAGTTGGTGGAGAGTTTGTACAAGACCAAGACTGATTTCAGAGCCTGCTTTCATCTTGGAACAGACTTTCAAGCAATATGAATTTCAATACCTAGATTTCTTAACCAAAAAAAAAGGGTTGAGCTACTGAGCTATGACACTGCCAACCGATCAGCTTAAAACATGCATGAACAGGTTGAGAAATGAAATTTAACAGTATAGTAGAAGTCAATAATGGCTTTATAGTATTCTTCAAACAGCCACAATTCCAGTTTCACTTTCTCTCAGTCCGAGGTTTCTTTGCCAGCTGCTCTCACAAACACACTGCAAGACAGTGCTGGACAGGGATGGACGGACGTGGTTCCTGAGGTTCTGCTGCTTGCCCTGCATGGACATGCACTTCATCTCTCTATGATCCAGTGTGGCCTCATAACCAGGGAGCCATTCCTCTTAGTCAGCGGGGGAGAGGTGTGCATCGTGTTATTTGGGGTGTACACAGCCTCCCTGGAGGCGTGCAGCCAGCTCCTCTTCCTCTTCAGATCTCCTACAAATGCTCTCAGATACAAAAATTCCATTCTCAGGAAGTGTTCCCTGGTCATGTCTCTGGACGCCACTGTTATCCTGAAGAGCTGGTCCCACACCCTGTTCTTCTTGCATCCAGAAAACTCTTTGAGGTTGATAGGCTTTGACCGTGAATGAAGAATCCGAAATTCCACATCAAAGTGTGCAACTGCTGGGCCTGACAGGATCAAAATGTTACTGCTGTTCAGCTTCCCATCTGTCCACGTAAAACTAGCAAAGGAAGAATGACAAAATTGTAAGTTAATTCAAAATAATCAGTAAAGAAAGTATTCACTGGAAATTCTCCTTCATCACATTTAGTTATGTTGTTCTTACAACCCAACTGATGAGCAATGGGCTCTTTTAAGGATAAATGTTGGTCATAAAATCAGATAAGGAAAGCAATTCTTCAGCATTGCTGGTTTTCCTTTCCATGGAGAGAAATCATGTAAAGCAAGAGAAAGATTGGCACTTGCCTGTAGGAGCCTGTTGTCACTCTAATGCCATCAATTAACATGAACTTTTCACGGACTTTTCCAATGATTTTGGTGCCCGACCTGGTGCAGTACGTGCTCCCCGTGATAATCCGAACCCTCATCAACTGTAAAACACACAGCAAGAGTCAGGTGGGCTGCAAAGCTCAGAGATTGCATTTAAAGGAGTAACACAGCAACAACCATCCCTGATGAACTGTGCACTGGCACAAGAGTCACCCACTAGGAACCAAGTGAGGATTTTGTCTTGTTTTTGTAGGCAAAGAGGTGACATTAAGGGGCAAACCCATAAACTGACTGTGCAGAATGGGACTGTGAAAATTCCTGTCACCTAATCATCAGGATGCAAATTCCACAGACTCCTGAGAACCTGCCTCTCCCTCGGCCTTCAAAGTCTTGGCGAGTCCAAGCAACTCCAGTCATGCTTTAGGAACTGGACATTCCTCCTGCATTTCCTTGAACATTCAATTAGTATTTGTGCTCAGAAAGCAGCTGTAACATCCAATTACAAAGGTTTCAGATTTTCTATTAATTACTGTCTTATGTAGAAATAGCTAAATCTTCCAAGATAGAGGATAGAACTGGAGCTACATAACACCCATTTTAAGTTGTGGCAGCAGGTGTAATAATTTCTTCTTCGGACAGCTTAAAGATTACAGTCATAAGAGGATCAGTTCCCTACTCCTATAAATATGACAAGGCTCACCTTTTCCTGCTCAAGGTCAACTCCCAGATCCTTGCACATTTTTAGAAAGTGGGAAAATGAAGACTGATCTAGAAGGATATACACTTTAACTTGCCGTTGGCTACAGGCTTCCAAGAGGTCTGTGAAGATATCAGTGTCTGTGAAGGAATCCATAACCAGGGCAATCATCTGAAAGGAGTTTCAGAAGAAACCATTAGGCTGTTTCTACAGCATTACAAAGGACATACCACATGAGAAATTTGAGTTTCAAATTAAATGCTCCCCCCTGCCTTTTTTTCAGGTGGTTATGGAACATGGTACAGTCTTCTGTGATACAGAGTACTCTTCCTCACCCTGAGAAAGAACTAGACCCCTCGTTTTACCCTATGTTAGGCAAATTTGATCTCTTCCTAAGCAAGAGGTTTTTGGTTTTTGTTTTTTTTTTTTTTCCTTGAGAACATATGTCTTTTTCCTCAAAACCATTGCCAGAAGAAAAGTTGAGCTTACTTCCAATACTACAGTTTTCCCATCTTCCAACTTTTCAAATATAAAAAGAAACAGTAAGAAAACCCAAAACCACCAGTGTCTGACTGCTCTTTATATCTCAGCTCTGTGTTTAAGATAAAAGTCAGGTTCGTCTTCACCTTGTTAGTCAGATTCTCATATTTCAAGTCAAGATCTAAATAAAACATCCCTTGAGAGCCAGCTCCTACCCCCGCAGATCTTCCCCATGGACTGAACCCCAGGATTTGCCATGGATCCTCCGCAGGATGGGGAAGCAAGGGCTCTTTCAGAGAGCCGGGAATGGGCACTCCGGATTTATCGCTCACGGCTGCCAGCTCCGAGGGAACTCAGCGGCACCCAGAGAGCTCGGACCCGGTTTTCAGCACTGGGAGGGGGAAAAGCTGACAAATTATGAACCTGATTGAAAAATAACTACAGAAGATGGTGGAAAAAACATAAAGCAATACGAAACAGGAGAGTAATTAAAAACGGAAGAGTATGTAAGTATGAGTATGTAAGACTAAGCGGGGAAGGACGAGGCGGCCCGGGGCAGGGCAGGGCAGAGCGGTCCCCGGGCACTCACTCACACCTCGGGGCCGCCCGCCACCAGCTCCTCCAGCGCCAGCCGCTGCGCCTCGCTGTACGGCCCGGCCGGCGGCGGCCAGCGCCCCGAGCCCTCCTCCAGGCACTGCGACGCGTTGGCCATGGCCGGAGCGCCCCGGCGCTGCCCCGGCTCTTTATAGCGCTCCGCGGGCTCCTCCCGGCCGCTCGCCCACGGCAGTCACGGGTGGCACAGCCCGCAGCCTTCCCCACGCCCAGGGAAGCGCCCGCAGAAGCGCCAGCCTCGAAGGAGGAAGGATCGGCCCAGCCCTGGTGCTGCTGCCCAGCCCGGATCTAAAGGCTGCTCCTAAGACTGGAGAGGGCAAATGGCCACAGCCGGAAAGGACCAAGTGCCGACGAAGTGACTTAGTCACCCCAATTTAAAATGCCAAATAAACAGAAAACAAAGCTCAGCGATGATCAGGTGAAAGCCCCATGGCAAAAAGGAGTTTATTTGTAAACTGTTTCTTGTTCCTGTTAGAGTACCTTAACAGCAGCACTGTATAATAAAGTTAAAAAGCACATAGAACAAACAAGGTAATTTTATATACATTCAAGAACTGCAGGACTTGAGCTCTTAAAAATACAACTCGATACTGCCTTTGAAGGTGTAATCTTGGCTCCCTCCCTGCAACTTGGTTTGGTGCCAGTGTTCCAGATCCACGAATCAAGCAATAAAGTACCTTATCGTTTTGAACAAGTGCAGACAGAACTTTTTTCCCCACCTCCAGCTTCAGTGAAGGAGTGGCAGCTTAGAAATCCAAGTAATATAAGCAGCAAAGCGTCTTTGTCCATAGAGATTTCAGACAGAAATGCCAAAGTTAGTTACTCTCAACACAGCAGCAGAGTTATGGATATTTTTATTCATTCATTCATTCATTCATTCATTCATTCATTCAATATTCAAGCCAGCAGCTGAAATGTGCCATCTACTGGACACACATGCCCCTAAATAAAAAAATACATAACCCGGACTCAGATGTGATTTGGCAGAATTCAGTGTGGTTGGTCACTGAAGTACTGAGATGCAGTTCTAAAGAAAAAGGATACAGGCCAGATCTCAGGGAGAGACTGCACACACTGCTCAGGTAAGAGACCCAGCAAGAACAGACATGCACAGAAATCTGCAAACAGATAAAGGCTTTGCAAAGCAACCAAACCTCAGATCCACTCAATATTGGAAGTATCTTCAAAAACCAGAGTGGCACTTTAGCTCCTCAAACTGAGTTAGTAGTGGAAAAATTGTAGAGCAGGAAAGAGTATTTCAGACAGCACAGTTAAAAAGAGAAAAATGTTTCTTTAATTCCTACAGTTACTTGTAAATTAACATTACCCAACATAGCCCATAACATTCCGTAGTGCATTTGTCAGTTTACTTTTGAACAGGGGCTTTGTCACACGCCCTCAGTGATTGTCTTGCCTTGGAGTTCACTGCAAAGAAGGAAGCACACACATGCACACACATATTTATTTATATATCTCTAAACAAAGGCACAAGAGCATGATCAAACTAAAGGGCTTGTTAGCTCATTCTGTTTCAGAAGGCTTAAACAATGGAAAAATAATATAGTTGAAGATAACCTGTAACTGTTTCAACAGACTCCTTGCAACTTTAGTGGAAGAGTAACATATATACCACAGAAGTTAGAATAAAATCAGCTTTATGGCTCTTTGTAAAAGCTGATTCCTCTTCTGTCAAAGATAAAGTAGAAATAAAAGCCAATATTGCAAAAAAGATTGAGAATTCTTGATATAAGACAGATCTCCAGAGCTACTCTGAGCAGTGTGACTCAGATTTTTCCAAGTTTACATAAATTAAAACTAGGGCATTAGCAATCCCAGAAAGCAGTATCAAGTTCAGTTTTGAGGTTAAATACCCAGAATTAAAATGATCTTCACCACTAATGCAAGAGGAACTTCTAAGTTGTTACAATATAATGTCTCTTTTTCATCACTTACATTGCATAGTATAAAACAAAGTGCTGGAGAGTAGTGTATTAAAAAAGTATTAAAGAATTAAAAGTGCTGGACAGAAGTGAAAGAATCTTTAGGTACAAAGTGACAGCAACTTGAGCCTGGAGTTTGTGTGTTGTGTGGTCGGGGCAGGAATCATTTATTGAGGGAGAAGAGCGAGGCGTCGCGGAGGCTGCGCAGGCTGGCGCTGATGTCGCGCCTCTGCTTCAGGCTGCACCTGCCAGGGTACTGGCTCACGTAGCTGGCAGGGACACGGCCCCGCCGGGACAGGATATCCACCATGTGGCTCAGCTTCGACCTGATGGTGGAGTAGTGGAACTGCCTCTCTTTGTGCAGTTTTTGGAAATATTGTGCCCTGTGACTACTGGAATATTCAAAGGAGCGGAGAGAGGATATTGAGCCTGTAGAGCTTGCAAGAGAGCACTGGGATGATGATGAAGACAGTGATTGCAGACTAGAACTGGATACAGCCTTTGCAGACAGAAAATACTCTTCTTTTGAGAACTTTCTGGGAAGGAGGGGTGTTTCTGTGCCCTCCTCTTCCTTTGTCTGTGTCACTGCAGTCTTCAGCAAGATAGATGTCTGAGTGCCTGTCACTCTGGCCGTGACAGAAGCCTGAGTGCTAGTGTCTGCTGTGGCAGTGCTGGCCTGAGTGGCTGCGTTACATTTGGTCACAGCTGCCATCTCTTCCCATGGGCCAGTTTGAGTTGATGCACTTCTCTGTTCCACTGAGGTCGCTTGATTGCTGAACAACTCCTCTTCACACAGGCAAGAATGCTGCAGGTTACAAAGCTTTCCTGCAGGAGTATATTCAGTTTGATCTGTTTTTTCCAGCAATTTCTTTGGAGTGCTAGACAGTCTGGCAAATTCTGCTCTCAAGTTGCCTTCCACAGTATATTCTTTGGAGGATTCTGTTCTGGTCAGCAGGTGATCAAACATGCCACTGTTCCTGCAGCTGGACGGTCGCTTTGGGCTGATGGGCAGTGACTGGGCATAAAGAATCCTGAACTGGAGGTCAAAGTGTTCAACCACTTGACCTGACAACACCAGCAAGTTGCTGCTGTTCAGCTTCCCATCAGACCATGTGAAACTGTTGAAAGGAAACAAAGATTCACAGTTAATCTCCAGTGCATTTCAACAATACAGCTACAGACAGCAAGACTCAGCTTAAAAATGAAGATAAGGTAAGAAGTCAACAGACTATTCATTTCTGCACGAAGAACTCTATTTAGCCATGGCCAAGCTCTCTGCTAGCAACAAGCTGAGTAAACCAGTTTTCCAAAGGTGTTTTCAGATTTGTGTCAGTCCCACTTTGACTCAGCTAGTCCATGTGCTGTTGGCACTCATTAACACCGGGCAAACAGCAAAGTTAATACATCCTGTTGCAGCAAATCCCAGTTTCTACACCTTCACTGGGCACCAGCAGACCCCAATACTTGCCTGTAGGAGCCTGTTGCCACTCTAATGCCATCAATTAACATGAACTTCTCCTTGGCTTTCCCGACAATTTTGGCACCTGACCTCATGTAGTACGTGCTCCCTGTGAGAGTTCGAACTCTCATCATCTTCAGAAAAGAAAGGAAAAAAGTGACATCAAATTTAAGTTAACTTCCAAAAACTTAAGCACGCTATGGAAGATAAGAATGAAAGGAACTTTTTTATACAGTCTGTGTATGAGTGTTTTTAGTCACACAGTGCTAAATTCCTGTTAGATTAGGTGAGAACAGTCAGTTCCAATTAGTTACTGCCCAGGAAGGCAGGAGTGCTTTTCCCTCTCCAGAGAAACTTTTACTGCAGTGGACATAAGCCTATCCAAGCCAAGCCATAACTCAGCCATGTCCATTTATATTCACAGCAGCTAAACAAATCACCTGGCTCACATTATCCAAACCCTTTTAAAAGAAAGTATTAGGAAAGAAAGCAGCTGATACCAGAGCTGTACCACCCTTTAGCTTCCCACGTTTCTATTTTCCTTAGCAAGCAGTTCCTTGAGCCAAAGAATAAAGCTATTTAAACATTGCAAAATTAAATCCCTGAAAATTGCTGCATCCTCAGGACAGGGATCCTGGTGCACAGAGCACATGGGCCTGTACACATCATGCTTGTAGCTCCTACATATGGACAACACACAGGTTGCTTTAGCCTTTCAAGGCAGTCTGATGCTTTATAGAAAGGTTTCTTTGATATGCATAAACTGTATCACAAAAATAAAAACAAACCACACTGACCCCAGTTCAGTACTTACACTTTCCTGCTCAGGACAAACTCCCAAATTGTTGCACATTTCCAAGAAATGGGGTACAAAGTCCTGGTCAAGAAGGATGTAGACAGGGACTTGGCGGTTGTTATAGGCATCCTGAAGGTCACTGAAGATCTCAATGTCTGTGAAGGAATCCATCACAAGGGCAATCACCTGCAAGGAAAGCCACACCACTTACTTAAGGGACTTAATTACCACAGGACCACTGCCTCCTCCAGCCATTTTCTCCTGCTGCTGTCATCAGGGTCTCATGCACATCTCCTTGTCCTGATGCACAGGCTCTAGCAAGCTCTACAAGATTTCTATATTCCCACAACACTCCTGTAAATTCATTGTGCCCCAGCATGCAAAGCATAGGCCTGAAGAGTTTTTTCCTCTGTCTGCTGCTTTTGTACACTTTCACATCCTCCTTTCCTACACAAGCCCCTGTAGTGTGGCCAGACTGGGGAAGCTATCACAGCAGAATCTGGACTCCAGACAAGCCATCTCCACACCTATTCTCCCTGTGTTTCAAGCAGCTACAGGAGAATTAGCTCAAATGGCCTCCTTGCTGTCAGAGCTCACAAACCCCAGCTGATCTCCAGACTCTTCCTGGTTTCTATATTCTTACTGAGTTTCTATCCTTTACCTTCACAGGAAATCCTCCCACTCACCCAACAGTTCTTTCAAAAAGGCAAATCCTAAGATGGGAATATCACATGTATGAACCATCTCTCCAGCTAATTCAGAGCCACCTCACACACTGATTTGGTGCTTGAGTTCTCACCCTTCCAAACCACTTCTGTGTAAGGACACAAAGGCATAAAAGATTCAACTTTATGACTGAATTTTCCACTTTTCTATTAAACCAGCATAAAGAAAAATGAGAATAC